TGATAAAAGGGCCGAAGATTTGCTGGCAGCAAGTGGAATGGGATCATGTATATATATATATGTATATATTTTTTTGCAGTTGGTTTTTGTTTCAGGGCCCTGAGGCGGGCCCAATTTATTGGGGTTTGAACAACTCAAGACCACTTTCAGCCTTTCAAGCAATTTTGTTCTTGAACGAAAATCTTCAGTGGGCTTTCCAGCGGCATCTAGATCGCAAGAAGAAATGTACACATATTTAGAGTAGGCCCCCCCAGTCCATGGGCCCATCGGTTGCCTGCTCCTTTGGCGCCCTAGTCCATTGGTCCCCAAGGTCCTTTCGTCCTCTGGCCCTTTTGAGCAACGTATTTTCACGCAAAAGTAGAACTTGTACGGCTAACTTTCCACGAGAGAAAATGTGCGAAGAAACTTGTTCTGCGGAACCTCCCAAAAGCGCAGAGAAGATATGTATAGGTATAGGCAAGGATGCGTGCTGATCCCTGCGCTCCACAAAACGCGAAAGCACCTGCAGCCTCCATCAAACATCAGCAAACCTGTTAAAAATTCATCTGCTGCCTTAGGCATTCCAAGCTGACCTGCTTTGGCATTCATGCAAACGCAAGACAAGACTTAGTAGAGGCGCGAACTTGCCAATGATGCCGCTGATGCTGTCATGCCTAAGCGCGTGACCCCTGATGAAGCCCAGAAGAGGAGAACGATGGCGGCGGCGACAAGAGGTCACCCATCGCGTATTCATACACAAAATGTTGCTATCACTCGCCTGGGCCTGAGCTGCTCTTGTCTCGCAAGCATCCTTTCATTGTCCTCTGGGTGGCTGAGGCCTTCATTTATGGGGCAATAGGGTGTGTAGCTTTCGATGCTGATCTATATATTTTGTGGTGCCTTCTGAGTCTGGTGGTTTTTGTAGCTAACCCCCGTCCAGCGCTATGAACCTTTACCAATGCGCTGGGCCTGCCATGACAGACTTTTTAAAGGCCTCCCATCGCATAACACCAAATATTGCACACCCCCACACAAGTTTTTAAATTTGCGCAAGCATCCTTTCATTGTCCTCTGGTCACCCGCCCTGCCTTTGTTGTCCTTTCCCTAGTCTCTTTTTCCTTTCGTTGCTCGCTGGAATATTTATTGACCAGTTTTCTCCTTTATGAACACCGCTGAATATTTTTTACTGATGATTTTGATTTCCCGCCCTTGCCCAGCAAGATGCTGTTGCGGCTTGTGCGAAGTCTTTGCTCAATATTGTTTGGTGACTTCTCCCTTGGATGCTGAGCGTCCAGGCCGTGGCCAACGACACAGAATTGGTCAATTGGGTGGAGCAGCGCCTTGTGTGTGAAGACTGCACAGCGTTTTCTTTTTCTCCGCATGTGTGCCATATATTTTTGCATTGTTTCCCTGGGCTGATTTCCGGCATTTGTTTTTACATGTTTTTACCATTGAATCTGTCTCGCATCTTCGACCCAGACTTTCAGGAAGCATTCGATGTATCTCACCTATCTCACCCATTTCATGTATATATTGTATATTACTGTGAAGAATGTGGAACACGAAAAGGTGAACACACTCAAGTGATCGACCGCTCGAAGTGCCGTCACGGAACACAAAAAGGCTTTGCACTTGTTTGCGCGCCATGCGTGAAGCTCAAGAGGCCCCTTTTGGGCAGGTTCGAGGAGCAACAGCAGCAATGCGTGCCAAAAGCTATGCTCCTATTCCAAATGGATGGGGTCCATTTCACACCGGTGGTTGTTACCGATGGTCTTGGAGAGTTTGGCGACGGTCCAGGTCGGTAAACTCCCGCCACCTGTCAGACTCCTGCTGTGCGCAAAATGCGCAGTACTCCAGCGTCTTCATGGAGTTCCTGTCTGCATTGGAGAGGCCCTGGCATTCTGCATTCACGTGGTACTTGTTGCCAGTCCTCGTGTGCCAGACCACGTGGGCTAAGGGTCTGGTCTGTAGCTGATGCTGCATGTCCATCAGCGTTTGCACCGCTCGCTGCCACTTCATCCTCATACCCTTGTACTTCCCATCCAGCTCACCAATCTCGCCGCTGAGGAAGTCTCTCATAGTCACCAGCTCGTCCACCTGTCTCTCTAACTCATCACATTCGTTCTCCAACCCCTCACACTTGTCCTTGAGCTCGACATTGTAGGAGTCGGAGTCCCTGAGGTCTTGTCGAAGTCCGGCAATCTCAGCTCTGAGGGGGCCGAACACATTTTTCTCTTCAGTGGTCTCGGCCTGCATTCCAAAGTCCCTTGTTGAAGAGCTTGAGGTTGTCATAGTCATAGTCCATGTCTCTGTGTAGGTTCGTGTAGCCGTTGAGGTCGTTGTAGACCATCTCCTGCCCAGGTTCCATCCCACATAGGTCATCAGGATGAACAGCATGAGGGTCATCTCGGGCGAGAAGACAAAGTCGAGGGCCACTTCAGACGAAGGTTGATAGGCTTGGACCATAGCCATCTGTGAGGTCAGGAAGGCTGTTGTGGTTGCCTGTCCTGCTGATCGCACGCTTGCGAGCATTCGCCTGTCTCTCGGCTTATAAGGTCTTCTTCTTTGCCGCCTGGAAGGTCATATCGGACCTGAGGGAGATCTTGTGGCTTCGTATTCGGTCAGCAAATAGCTGCCGGGCTGAGGTTTTGGTAACCCCGTCAGCCAGTTGGATCTCTGAGCTGACCCATCGTAGTTTCGTGCTCATGCGCAACATCTTCTGCTTGGTCACCATGACCTCGATCTTTGTTCTTTTGTCTCCTTGGAGACTTGCCGAAGGTAGTGAAGGCTTTAGCTCATTAACCTGGCGCAGCTGGAAGTCATAGTTCAGACATCCTTCCCAGAAGATGAGGAGGTATTCCAAGGCGTCCATCGCGGCTGAGCATGCTTGGCTCTCGGCATTCAGTGAGGACCGACTGATCCTTGGTAGCTTGAAGCTCCCAGTCCAGGATGGTATAGTCGTGGTCGAGGGTGTTGTCCTCAAGCACTGACTTGTGACATAGGAGCACCAGGTAGCCACCTTGGCTTTCACTATTGCGTCTCACCCCCCATGCAGCGTCACTCATGCCCACCATACATAGGTCATCCAGCGAGCCACCCATGGAACGGAACACCAGGCGGGCGTCATTGTTGTTCTTGCGAAACGTAGGGTCTTGTTCGCCTGCTGGGCCACATTGACCGTAGAGGTGGTGACTTCTCCACACAAAAGCGACACTGAAGCGCATAGGTGAGGCGAGGTTTGGGTTGCTGGCCATTGAAGTGCACCGAGTAGTGCTCTCAAAGCGCTCTGTTCCTTGGAGTTCAACTCCCTTTCAGCCTCGTTGTCCGCACAGGTCATGGGCTTGATGGTCTTGAGGTAGTCAGTCTGCGTCATCACGGACTCAGTGGCTGTGCGGGTGAGTTGACATCCGCAGAACTCTAGTGGGCGTTCACCCTCAGCTGTCCAGTGTTTGAAGTTGAAGGAGGTCTTGAGCTGCTCGATCAGCTTGCTATAGGTAGTTGAAGTAGCCAGGCCGCAACGGAAGAGGTCGTCGACGTGGATTCCGACCATTGCTGTTAGGACCTTGTTCTCATCAAAGAACATGTAGAGGCATTGGTCCAATGGATGTGCTTGGAATCCAAGTTGCAGCAATCGGCGTCGGGCGACTGCAAACCGTTGCCTTGGAGCGTCAGCTTGACCATACAGAGGCTTGATCAACCTCATGAGCGTGCCGGGTGGCACTCCAATGAGTTCACGTGCATCTTTTGGGATGCGTGCCCATAGAACTCGCTCCTGTGGATCTCCCTCGAGGAAAGCGGTCGCCACGTCCGCAGTCCAGCGTTCCCAGGAAAGCACCTCTGAAAGGGCGATGAGCACCTGCCAGGAACTTCTTGACAAAGTCGGTGAGGAAGTGTCCAATTGTCCCTGCAGCAAGTCAGGATCTGAAAATCCTTGAAGCACCAACAGTGCCTTGGCCTTGAGGCCGCCCTTTCCATCATGACCCGATTGTGGTCTACTGCTTGTGGATCGAGCTCAATCTCCCAGACACCATTCTCGAAGATGCTCATGAGCTCTGCCTTCTTTCCTTCCAAGAAGGAGAGGCGATTCTCCAGGGTCATTTTGCGCTCGTTGAGATCAGCGCTTTCTTTGACGTGCCTCTTTTTGGGATTGCCAGCTCCAACGGCCTGCCAGATATGTCCACGGCCACGGAGAGTCTTGCAGCGAGAGAGCTTGTCCGTGAGGTCTCCGATGTAGGGGAGTCCGGTCTTTTCTGCACCCTCTGAGGTGAATGGGTACAGGGTCTTGCCGGTCCAATACTCGTGGAAGTGCTGCTGCTCCTTGGCGTTGACATAGATGGTTCTTGATCCTTGATGCAGTGTCAGGCCGGTGGTTGTTTGTAGAAAGAAGGCGTCAATGGGGAACTCTTCAGGCTTGTAGGTGGTGTTTCTTGGTTGCGCACAAGGAAGCTGTCCTCGTAGCTCCACCAGTCTTGTGTTTCATCCAGGATGAACTCATTGTTCTTCTCATCATAGGTCCAGCTCGTCGCCGACGATCTTGGAAGCTTTCTGCTGGTGGTGGCGCATAAAGAGGATCAACTGCCATTGGCGCAGGCATTGGGGACGAGGAAGCTGCCACAGGCCTTGAAAGAAGGTCGGCCTCTGGAGAATCCAGATCGTGGTCTTCAGGAACGGGTAGATCAGCTGGATCTGGAAGACTTGTCAGAGGCTCGGCGTCCATACGTGGTGTCTCCATGTGTGCCGGTTCACCCATTGGCTCTTCAAATTCATTGGTGTCGTTCATGAAGTCGTCGCTCTTCCAGCTGTGGTTCCAATGGCTCTATCGGAAGGTCTTCAGGAGGATCTGGAGCAGGTGGAGCCGATGGTCGTTCAATTACCCGTGACTGAATGGCTTCTTGCATGGAGCGATCAAAGGCCCGTTGCACACCATCAGGTAGTCCAGATGAAGGCATAGTCACCGGAGCAGGTGGTTCTTCAGCTATGGAAGGAGCGTAGTCGGACAGTTCAGGATCAATCGAGCGCTTGTTGGCCTTGCACAAGTCGATGATTCGGACAGCTCTTCTCTGTCTCAGGTTGTTCAGAGCTTGTTGAGCACGTTGAGCTGCACCAAGTTGTCCGCTGTCGCTGACCATCTTGCGAACGTGTTGAACTCCAGCACGAAGGAGTACCGTTCCGTGTGCAATCCAGTACACAGAGATGGTGCCAGTGTCAGGGTTGCGCTCAACTGCAACAACAACTGCTGGTCCGCGCCAGCGGATGGTGTGGGCCTTGTCCGGGAAGTCCCGCCAGTAGTAGCGCCTCTCGCCAGGAAGGAGTTCTTCATCTTTTCCCGTAAAGCGTCGCAGCAGGGCCCTTCTCAGCTTGACATCAATCTCAGCTTTGCCACAAGCACTCTGGGCAGCGAACTTCATTTGGAGTCGTTTGTGGAGTTTCTCTTGCTCAGTCAGCGTCAGCTGCAGCTGAAGTGGGCTTGTTCGCTCGTCTGAAAGACGTCCAGGAAGTGCAGGTTCTCGGCCAAGAGCAAGCTGGGTGGGCGTATAGCCGTTGACAAAGGTGCTGCTGTTCAGGGCAGGTATGACCCAAGACCGTGTGCACGCCGTCGAGGCCAGTGAGATCATTCTCCATCATGAAGATTGAGACAGCTTTGCGTACAATCTGATGTCTCCTCTCGACAATGGATGTTCGAGTGTGCGCCTGTCCTGGAGAGATGCGGATCTCGATGTCATTGTTCTCGCGCCACTGCATGGTAGCATCTGATGCCCAACCAGTGCCCTCATCCACATAGAGTTGTCGTGGTGGTCCATGATGCTGAATCCATGCACGTTCTAGTGCTTTCTGAAGTGTGGGTCCTTTCTCATCCATGATGGTGCGAGCTGCCATGTATCTGGTTGCAACATCAACCATGACCAGGATGGCGATCTTGCGGGCTTTCTGTCGTTTGCCAGGCTCGCGAACAGCTCCAACTTCATCAAGATCGAGCCAGAGAACATCGGCTTGAAGCTGGGCATTGAACTCAGTTGGACGATCAAGGTGTCCAGGTGCTGTTCCTTTCTTGACTGCATGTGCCTCACAAAAAGGACATTCAAGATCTTGGACCGCTGCCAGGACCTGTGGGCTGCAATTCCTGCTCTTCAAAGTGTTGAGCAGAACATCTTTGCGAGGGTGTCCAAGATTTCGATGAAGGCGTTGTGCAATACGAGCTGCTTCTGCACCATGGGCGACTGCAAGCTTTCTCAGAGCACCAGTGAGAGGAGCGATGGCGTCGGTCACGGCATAGACGCATAGACCTGTTCATGAAGTTCTTCATCAAGAAGTAGTGCTCGTGCCAAACGTGAAGCC